TAGAAAGAGCCAGGCTAGTTGTTTCATTGTTTTCACTGATTATACTGAGCAAAGCTAAGCTAAATGCTTGATGGATGTAGCCTTATATTTCCAAAAACTATACAACCTCAAATGTCTCAAACTGACATTTCAATACCTTCATTTAACAGAAAATACAAATACTCTTGCTCTCTCTCCACATATTTGACCACTTCAAGTTTCTCATGCACATCGTATCCCACAGCTGCTCTGAACCGCCATACTGAGTCAATTAGACCTGTTCAATGGGAACATCAATTAGGCCAAGCAGGGACAATCTATATGACTCGAGCTCTAATGAGATTAATTCCTGTTGGATGGGATAAATTCTTTCCCAAATGTCAACGTACAAGGAGTGATTGAAGTTAACAAGCTCATTAGTGCACTTCAGGACAATGTTCAGAGCTGTATGGTTGATTCTCAGCAGTCGAGGGGCCTTGGAGGATCAGTAAAGATTTGTGGTTCTTACAGTGAATCCTAGTGGATCTTTTTTATTTGTAATAAATAATAATTTCAGACCACTGAGGTTTATTGGATATTTGGCACTATCCTATATATTTGCAATCAAATTCAATTAAAAGACCAATGTTACTGTACATTAGTCCATCTCTCAATACTTTTGGTTTCCCCAGCCACCGCTCAGACCAAAGTTCATTTGCCTTTGACATGAATCTGGAAACAACGAAACTAGAACAGCTCGCAGTAGAGAATATACCTCAGCCAAGGCCAAACAGTCCTTTATATGATTGTCTAGTTCTTGTAGTACAATTGAAAAGTAAAATGAAAGTGTCTAATAACCTCAAAATTGTCAAAAACTACAGTTAAAGAAAGTTAAAAAAAACAAATCCTGGATCTGCCCTTTTATCCACATCGCACAATCTTTATTCTCAGACCCAGGCAAGATCCCTCCATCAAGTTTGTTGGAAATTAGTCTAGTGGTTTTCCTTTAATCCATCTAACAAATAAACCATCTAAAAAAACAACATACAGAAACTGGTGAAAACATATCCTCCTTAGTTTAATTTTTGAGGTGAGTAAGATGTGTATTTATCTGAAAATGAAAGCATTCATATGCAGGTAGCTTTTTATGGAGATTAGCAAAAATATCATCTGGACCTTAAACACCCAAGTATCACTGTTTGTGTTTTGGGCGGAGAAACGTCCAACTTGTTTGATAAAAGAAACTAGTTGGACTCCAAACGGTTTCTCGGCCCAGATATCTGCTGTCTACACCAGAAGATATTGCCCGTTGCCCCTAGAGGCTCATTATTCCTCAAACAATAGCTGGGTGGCTTTGAGATAACGCTACACACTCTGTTCATTTTCATTGTAGTGAAAACACAGTGGACCAATGGACAATGGCACAGAAGAATAAACTATATTAGACTTGTGCTACACAGACGGTGCTTGATAGGATCAAGTCATTCTTGGTGTTGGTCCTCTAATGCAACACGTTACCAGTAAGATAAGAGTCGAAGATCACTCGACCTGTCCATTCATTTATTCTGATCAGACGTCCTTTGACCTAAATCTCCTGTGTGGAGCTACGCAGCTTTTCTGCGCAGAAAGTTGACCTCGTAAGAAAAGTGGACTTTTCAAAAGCATGGTCCTGGTTTCCATTACAACAGCCCTGATAGCATTGATGCTCCTCATTCTGAGGTGGACTCTTCATGAACATCCAATAAATTGATTCCTCAAACATTTCAGCAGACGCTTCTTTTGAACCTGCACCGCACACTCTGTGATTGTGTTTGACAGTATCGTCTAGCCCTCGACTCTTTATGAAGAAAGGAGGGAGAAGGTGGAGGGGGGGGGGGATAGAACAACGAATGACAGATGTACCAGAGGGTCTGACAAGCTGTGTCTCATTTTCAGAGTTGTAATGAGAACCCGCTGGGGTGACTTTAGGCACAGGCCCAGGATCAGTTTACCTCTGTCCTGAGCCTCTGACTTTAACTGTCTGTGAAACCCTATTGTTAATGGAGGCTGCATGTTTTCTGTGTTTGCAGGAATAAAGACTGCACGGTGAAGCATGATCCAATCCAAACCATGTATCCACTGTTGGTCCTTTTCCTTCATGTATACCCTTTAACTCTACAGAAGAACTTAAGCATCTGGGACGTATCAGCTTGACTAGTTCACCACATGTTTAAGATATATCTGATGCCCCAGGAGCAGGCATACGAGTGCATCAGACGTCTGTTTACACATGATCACCTAGAAGGTTAGCAAGTGACCTACCAGGTACAGTTTAGCCAGAAGACCTTCTGCTCACCTAAAAGGAGTATGACTTGTAAGTGTTTCTACAGAGAGCTGAATAGAATGAACACACTTTGAAGGAGCGGGGATGAGAGGGGCGGGGGAGCTATAAAAGCAACTTAAACCTTTGACACTGACTGAAGAACCAGTTAAATCCCCGGTTCCTAATGTTGTTAATCTTGACAGATTTCAAAGACGTTTTTGGTCTTTAAAAAGTTAAGTTCATCGAAAATACAGATCTCGCCGTCAAATGTTTTCATAAGAATTTATTGGGAAGAATCGATCCCTGTTAGACTTGTTACTTTAGCACGTTCTCTGGATTATTCAGAATAACATGGACACTGTTTTTGGATCAAAGTAATATTTCAATGATTTAAACGAAAAAAATCCCAGATCAGTCACTAGAGCTGCTTTCAGACATGAAGTCCTGAAATTATCCAGAGGGGCTAATTGTGGGAACACAAATGTCCAAGTCAGTTGCTCTGGCTTATCTCCAGACTTTTTCCTGCCAGCCCCCTGGTACAATCTCTGAAGAATGTGTGAGTGTGAGAATACAACAGGAAAATGAAATCAAGAATAAAAACCAACAAAACAAGAAGAATACAAATATCTCAGGAAGAAGATGTCAACTTAGAAAGACAAAAAGATTCAAGGGAATGACGTGATTGTCCAACACCAGTGTCAGTGTGATGGGAACAAATAGCACTTTTCTAGTCTGATTGACTACTCAAGGCCAATATTTATATAAATCTAGAAAAAGAAACGTCAGTCATAATGATGGGTCATATTTTCTATAAAAAGGTAATTCAACATCCTATAACATCGGAGCATCGTAGATTTTAGCAAATGTTACTATGGTTGAGGTAAATTCTGCATTTTGGGGGATTACTTTCCGCTGCAGATTGATTCGGTGGCCTGCATGGTGAGTAGTTACAGCACTTGGCTCATCATGTTGAAGAAACATGTCAGCCAGAGCAGCAGCATCTTATTGATGTGTTTTTGATAGTAAGTAAAGAACAACAATGGAGCTCAGAGAACTAAGTTATATCAGGCTTTGGGTCCATTGTTGGTTTTGGTCTTTTCTCAGTATTTATTGGCGAAGAGTGAAATTAAACAGCAGCGAGTGGAGCAGACACCATCCCCCAAGGCCAAACAATACATCATTGTCTGGTTCTTATGGTGGACAAAAGAAAAAAGTTGGTCTGATAACCTGAATGATTTGTTGGTAATAAAACTAAAACAAAATCCTACAATGGCCCCTTAATCCACATCCACATTCAAAACTGTATGGAAATCTTCTTCTCATCTCTTCACTAAGTTTGGTGGAAATTGATTCTGTAGTCTGTTTTGTTTGTAATCCTGTTAACAGGCACAGTCCTCCATAAATAAACCCCTACAATAAAATTACAGGTAAGAAACTCTGATTACACATCTTATTTAATTAATTATCTCCTGTTCAGGAGACGGGAAAAACAATCTAACACCTAATTTAAGGGTGCAGTAATGTATTCATAAAACACTCTTTAAATACCAAAATATTTAATAGGTCCTGTTTCACTTTTGTATATGGAAATAAAAACAAGTACTGTAGGCACCCTTTGCCAAAAAATATCCTCTTAGTTCAATTCTGCTAAAAAAAAACAATTTTGGCACATGTAGAGCTATAAAATTTAATGACAGGTTTAATTCGGAGCAAATAAACTACAGCTGTGTTTTCAATGCAAATAGTTTTTCCTGTATTTAAAGTGACTCATAACATTTTCTGAACGATCGAAGGAGCTGCTGAGTGGAAAAGGTAAGAGAGACCGAGCAGTGACGATAGAGGAATCAGCGTGTGCCACTGGATGAGTTTATGAACAAGTTTTATCATCACTAAATAAACGTGAAGTTGTTTTGAGGAACATAAATTGTGCTTCATTGTGCAGGGGTGGCAGTGGACGTCTCAGTCCACATATATGTTTTAGTCTTGCGAAGGTGAAACCAAAATATCTGCAGTTCTTGAAATAACATATGGGAAAATACACCTTTGGGATTTGGGTGACCTGACCATTTAAGTTCCTCAAACCTTTTACATTCAAGCCTGGAGTGCTGGTTTATTTCACCTCCGTTCCAAGGGAGGAAGAGGAAGGTGAAGCCTGAGAAGAACCACACCGCTGCACGTCTGCAGACCAGACTGTAGCTCAAGGGGGTCTGGGGCAGTGGATGGGAGCCAGAGCCCTGAGCAGGAGGAGGCAGATTCGGTTTCACCCCTGAGTGTGTGTTGAATGGAGGTCTTCCTCTCACACCAATATTTCATCATGTGTGGGTATGAACCTGCAGGCCTGCCCATGAGGATTTCACCGCTATATACTCCTAATGATGGAAAATTAACGCTCCACTGAACAGAGCTAAATGCCCCCACTGACAACATTCACAAAGTATTTACAGTGCAGGCCCGAGAGCAGCAAAGTGAGGGATCACTCCTTTCTGTTGATTTTAATGAGGAAAACCTGTCACACACGGTTTGTTGTGATTTCCATGAAGGGCAGGAGATGAGGGACATTGTTAAGAAGACGACTGGTGATAAAAAAAATAATAAGAAATCAAGAAAAAATCAAGAGAGGATTTGCTTTGATTTAAACTGATCCTGCAAGTTTCACCTGATATGAGGAGACCAAGTGCGTCTTTACGCACAACATCCAGACTCCACCCAGACATGCCTGGAAGAAAACCTCCTGTTACAGACGTGGGCTGGCCAATGACAGAAGCTCCATCCACACTGACTGATGCTCAGCAGCCCCTGATTACGCGTCTATGCTCACAACTTTTACGCACAAGACAAAATGAGAGCCTTTGTTTCAGCAGCGACGTTCCTGTGGGTGATAGCGATACCCTGCACGGAAGCCATCCACGGACTGTATAACTTTGGCCAGCACGAGTTATTCTACAAGAAGAACCACTGCAAGCAAATCCCTGCAAACCTTCTGCTGTGCCACGACATCGAGTACACGGAGATGCGCCTCCCGAACCTGCTCGGACACGAAACCATGAACGAGGTTCTGCAGCAAGCCTCGTCCTGGATCCCGCTGGTGCAGAAGCAATGTAACCCCGACACGAGAAAGTTCCTGTGCTCCCTCTTCGCCCCCGTGTGTCTGGACGACCTGGACGAGCCCATCCAGCCTTGCAGGTCCCTGTGCGAGAGCGTCAAGCAGGGCTGCGCGCCCGTGATGTCCGCGTTCGGCTTCCCCTGGCCGAAGATGCTGGACTGCGACCGTTTCCCGCTGGACAACGACCTGTGCATACCCCCTGCAGGCATCGACAACTCTGTGCCAGCCACCAAAGAAGGTATGGTTTTGTTTGGATGTGTTGTAAGACGCACACTACACCTCTTCAAATCATGCACGTAATGCCAAATCCCTATTGATAGATCCTATATGATCTTTTACTTCTTCATAAAGTTTATTTGTGGACTAAATGTGTGTCCATGCATTACACCAGGATGTGTTTGCTACTTATTCTGATCAGTAAATAACATTCTTGTCATGAATTATGTCAGATTATCTGTTTTCCAGTTTAATCACTGATCAGTTGTGTCTAATTTGTTTGTTCTAGTGCCCAGAGTGTGCGATGCTTGCAAAGAAACGGACGAAAATGACAACGAAATTGTTGACAACCTGTGTAAGAATGACTTTGGTAAGTCCGCTTATTGACTTTTACCAGAGCAGTAGTTCCTGAGGGGCCCCAAGGGGTCTTGAAGGGAACTTCTCAAGAAGGTTCCTTGAAACAATAACTGGTGTGGCCAAGAGTTCTCTCCTGACCTTCATGTCGCCTAATGTCTGCAGTTTAGCATCAAACCATATGAAAACACATGTCTTTCATCACAAAAGGGTGATCTATAAAGAATATCTGTTTGCCAAATCTTCCCCACATCCTCACTCTCTCTGCCGCCTTCTTTAAGCTCTGAAGATCAAAGTGAAGGAAATCTCCTACATCAACGGTGACACCAAGATAGTGCCGGAGACCAAGAGCAAGACCATCTACAAGCTGAACGGCGTAACGGAGCACGACCTGAGGAGGACGGTGCTGTGGCTGAGGGACGGCCTGCAGTGCATCTGCGAGGAGATGAACGACATCAACGCTGCCTACCTGGTCATGGGCCAGAAGAAGGACGGCCATCTGGTCATCACCTCGCTGAAGCGCTGGCAGAAGGGACAGCGTGAGTTCAAGAGGATTTCCCGCAGCATCCGCAAGCTGCAGTGTTAGAAAGCAGAGAAAAAAACGAAATGCATGTGTTACTGTTGAAGATAAAGTTCAGTTGAGCTCTTCCCCCATTTTAATTTCACAATTGGTGTCAAATAAATTTCAACAATGAGGTTTTCCCTGGCATTTAAAGACACATCCCTCCATGTGTCAGCCATTGGTTTATCATTAGAAATGCCAGACAAAGCTAAAATAACTTGCATTTATTTAAGCCTGCAAACTAGATTTCGGCCGATACATTGAAACTAAAGCCAAACTACTTTAAGCGGCGACCTCTGGATTCTAAAAAAAGACTTATTAAACGTGGTGCAGACATTCATCTGACTTTCTTCCGATGACTCCCATTCATTTTGCACTGGCCCGTTAATGCAGGGGCCAGTTCTCAAGCAGTGTGTCCCTCCCTGGGGAGCTGTCTTCGCTGTCACCTCATTAATTGCAGTTAATTGCCCTCGGCCTCTGTCCCATGTGCAGACCAATCACTAATTGCGTTGTTAGAGTTTTGAATCCAGGATTATAAAATGACTGACTCTAATAATCATTGGCAGATGAGGCCTACTGTTAAATCCTGAAGAAAGGCCGAGTTTCATTAGACTTAAAATAGACTTTTCTTTTCTTTTCTGGTAACAAAAAGTTATGTTTTCTTGTCTCCTGGACGCCTCAGAGTTAAATCCTCTAAATTTCTATTAAAAAAGTCAAAGGCCTTCACTGCTCAAGACAGGACTGCACAATTTAACTGTATTTTAGGTTCATTAAAGTCTTTCTAAATTTGGCACATGCTTCCTACAATTACAAACATTGAGTCCCTTTGTGAGTGAAGCTGTGATCCTGTGTCCGAGACAAAGATAAAGCTATTGGTGTTTTTGTGTTCTTACCGTTTTCTCAAGCAAAAAAGAAAATGAGAGATAGCTGGCTATATTCTCTGCCTGTTCAACATTTTTAATATTCTTGGTAAACCTTTTGTACTTGAGCCACTGCATATTTTTCTACCACAATATGATAAAAACTAAATATTTTTCTACTCCAGACTTTCCCATGTCTTTTAAACTTTTCTGTAAACTTCATCCTGTTGTTTGAGTAACACAAGTTGGTTTTTGTTGATTATCTGAGTTCTGGTTGGTGGTTTTGATTTGACGAGGAGTTATTTGGCGCAAATAACCATATGGTGGTGTGTGTGTGTGCAATGTAAAGTTTGTTTGTTTTTGTTTCTTGGAAAGTATTACTGTGTAAATATCTAATACTGTCCGTTTTATCTTGTGTAATGTTTCCAGCTATTAAAAGTTGCCAACATGTTTTTTTGAAATCGCTCATGAACTGAGTGTTGAGACCGTTAAGAGGTTAAGTTCAATAGAAGTAAAACAATACACTCATACATAAAACATAACAAAATAATCCTCATGGCCTCAGATATAGGACTAACCTGAAGTCTGCAGAATCTGCGGTCAAACACCGCCATCTTGTGGAAGTCAGCTGTAAAACTTGCTCATTATTTGGTGTTAATTTCAGTGTTTACAGTATTTTTTTTTTCCAATAAAATATTAAACAATTTTCTTCTCGAGGACTTTAATGCTAACAGTGTAAGTTGAACAGAATATTAGCCTTTAATCCTCATAGACATGCTTTTATTTTCACACCATGTTGTGACTGTGCATTTCTGAGAAACACGTTGCACCTGTTTTTGTTCCTGATACTCATTTGTTTTTCATAACCTAATTACTGTGGGAAATTCTTGTTCCTTTCACAAACAACAAGAAATGACGCTCGAGTCTTAGCTCATAAACCTTTTAATGTTTATTTCCTGCCTTGTACTTTTAAACAAACGAGTGCTCTCTTACTCTTTTTATGTTCTTTAACTTTTATTTTGTGTCATATAAAATAAATCTTTGATTTATCTTTTTCTATCACAAACCATTCAACCTCTGTCAGCACAGCTGCCAATATCATGTTCACTATCTGGCCCACAGACACTTTGGAATGCAGACTGGAGGAGGAAGGAATCGAACCACTAACCTACAAGTTATCCTGATATTATGTTACCTGGATGACATGTAAAAATATAAAACAACCCACTTCACTGTAGGAGAAGAGTTCAATACATTTCACCATTTGGATGCAACAAAGTCAAATAAACCAAGGCACAAAAAATAAAAAGCCTTTATTAGTGTGGCTAATTCAAGGCAAATGAAAATGGCAACTGCCCCTTTATGAAAGCACTTTTAAATGAACAAGATCCAGATCTTAAATTTGATCTGCACCAAACTACACACACTCATAAATATCCGTCCCCGAAACACGTTTGTTTTTTGTCATTAAGATCTGTGATTTATCTCGCAATGTTTAAGACTGTGATCATATTTCCTGGATCTGCACCAACTTAATGGGATCTTCCCTGATTTATACCACAGCTTTCCAACAATGTTCATGTTAAATGCAGATCAAAACATAACCTCCTGGCGATGGTAAAAATCCACTGTGTTGCAGCACACATGGTCTACATCAGGGCGATTGATCTTATTTTGCCTTTTTAAATTTTCACCCTCAGACATTTTCATATCTCCAAGTCAATCACAGCGATGTCTCATGAGCTGCTGAGAGTTATCACATGAATCAAGGTGTGAACTTAATGAGGAATAGAAGGGACACCACATTCACCTCACTGGCATCTTCTACATGACAATACAAGTGAACTCAAGCTGATCGACCACATCATAAGGTATCTGTGACTCACAAATTCCATCCTGACACCCCCCTCCTCACACCTTTCTATTCATATGACTCTGGCCACTGTCACATGACTACCATGTGACTTGAATGAGTCACAATGTGACATTATAGTGGGATTGGCCCAGAAATACCTGGGACTCCCCACAGGCCAGCAGAGCTGAAGAAACCTCTTGAATGAATGCCTTTAAAAAAAAAAAAAAGTCTACTTGTTCAGTCTAGACAGTTTCACTATGACCTGACTGAGAAATACAGAGTTCTTATAGTTCAGAGTGCAATCACAGTTTTACTAATGTAGTTCAAGAAGCAACAAAGGGTTATAAGCATTCATTATTGTGTAGAGTGTGTAAAGCCCCTGCCAAGACTGTGTAAATGTAAATACATCCCAAATTAAAAGCCTTAAAAATGTGTGATCAATGGATATATCCCTGATTAAACTTTAATCTTTTACTTTCAATTGTAATAGGGTAATTATACACTGTCGTATTTTTACTTTTACTTCAGTAAAACATCTGCATACTTCTTCATACCTTATATTTGGGGATTTTGGACAGCTGGTAAAAGAAGACATAGACCTTGTCGTGTTTGAGTATTATTTATTTTTTCTATTTGACATTTTATTAAACAGTTTGATGAGGAAATGTTGAAGATTAACTGATAGTAAATGGTTATTTGTGGCCCTCATCATAATACATTGTGGATTAGTCTGTCATTCGACAGGTTCTACAGAGGAAGTGATTGAACAAACCACTGCTCAGATATGTTTAGTCACTACACAGGATGATATCATAGGCGTTTTACAGTAAAAATAACGCATCATCAGGTAATACTGGCACCATGGTTTTATTAATACTGTCAGTGTGTAATCTGATATTTCCAAAGTTTCTGAAAGCTAAAATGCCCGGATAGGAATATAATGATCAATGCAATGGTCAGTCAGTCATACTCATACAGTGTGAGTCATGTAATAATAGTCTGGAGAGCTACAACTCTTTCTCTCTCTCTCTCTCTCTCACACACACACACACACACACACACACACA